AAAATTTGAATTATTATTCTGGCCCGTTAGCAATTATTTAAAATTTTTGCACATAAAATATGATCTAGCCATACATAAATGGAAAATTAATCTCGAAGAAATATATTCTAATTTTCGTCGGTCAAAAAACCGTCCGTGGGGTCCCTTTAATTTTAATTTCTTTTTTTCCGAAGTCTAAAATAAGGTTTTATTTTTGTTTCCCCGGATCCCCCCAAAGATTTTTTACAAATGAGATGCTGCCCGGGGGCAAAGCAAACTTTCAAATTAACTTTTAAAAGAACTGATTCAAAAGGCAAAATATTATTCTGAATTTTAACACGGGGCCCCCATTTTTTTCCCATTGAACATAGAAGAACCGAAAAATGTGGGGTTTTTTTGCTATAAATCCCCTGTTTTACTTTCTATATTTAGACATGTGACGTAATCATTAAAACATGTGAAAGTAACCCCCTAAAAATGTGACGCGCTGACAAAAAGTACGGAAACAAATCATTCGCCATTTAGCTAATTAATCATGTACGGCAGGGTTTTTTTGTTTTTGATGTCGGTTAGAATCGAAATAATAATCCCAAAACGGTGATTTTTTTTGCTTGATAACATCAAGTTTGTTTCGGATGCGCATCATTATATCACCGGGCTACGCCCCCGTGATATAATTTTCCCCCTCCGAAAATCCAAACAGTGATGTTAAATTTAGCAATAAAATCACAGTTTGGGGTATATTATTTCCCAAAAATATATAGAAAATTATAAACATCTATACCCTTTCAGAATTAAGGGTTTGTTTTTAAATTTTTAAACCGTTTTAGAAATTTTTCCCTTTACATTTTTTAAAAAAATATGAAGCGAAAAAGTTCATGTGGGTCTACACCGTGCATTAGATTTTTTAAAAAAATATGTTTTTAAGGGCTTATGGACCATGTAACCAGCTTAAAAAATTGGGGTTAAAATGTCCCAAAAAAAAAAAAAAACAAAAAGATTTAATTATAAGACTATTCCCCAAAAATTTCCCTTAAAACCAATGCGAGATAATCGAAAAATTTACGACAATTCGCCATGTTTTTTTTTTTTTTTGGGTTTTTTTTGGGGGGAGGGGGGGGGCGGGGGAGGGGGGGGGGCGGGGGATGCAAGATGTCTAAAAAACTTTAATGATTTGGAATTTTTCTATCTACAGAAATTTCGGATATGGCTTTTCATCCCCCGTTCTTTGTGGAAAATTTTAAATCTTTTTTGCAAAATTTTGTTCTTCGTGAAAACATTTTTCTATAGGTATTTGGAAAAAATATTTTCAAGAAAAAATTTGTAACAGAATAAAAAAATGAACCCCCAACCTTGACATTGCGTCATTTTTTAAGGGTCTGCACATTTACGACCGTTTTTTTGCAACACAGTGCCCATTTCAATTAGTTAAAAATTGTCACCCGGCTTATACCCTTTTATTATAAGTTAAAAAAGATGATATTTTCATCATCCATCATTTCTTCTTCTTTTTTCTTCTTTTTCTTCCTCTTTTTTTTCTCCCCTTTTTTTTTTTACATATTTTTCAATTTTTCATCATGTTTTATGTCCCCAAAATAATACAGCCCAATAGAAAACCTTGGAAATTTTTCTTAATTTTAGTATATAAAGGGCCCATTTGTTTTTTGGTATTTTGGGCCATTTTTCCATCTTTTTTGACTTGGAAAATTTATTTTAAAAATAGTTTAAAAATTGCCCCCGTCTGTGATAAAAACCCAAAAATGGACAGGAAAGGGTTTTCGTTTTTAATCCCAGCTGATCATTTTGTTGTCTGCTTTCTTAGTCATAAACTTTTTTTTTTACCGTCTTTTAAGAAGCATACTTATTTTTGCCCAAGTAAAAAATAAATATTTTTTAAGAAAAACCCTTTCAACCCTAAAAAGTCTTTTAAATGTTTTTGAAATGAAAACAAAAAAAGGGCCCGGGAAAGAAAAAAGGACAAAAAAATTTTTGAGGGATGTTTTGGCGAAACTACGGAGGCCCTGTAGGGGAAAAATTTACTTACAAATCTTCTTTATAATAATACACGTTTGATTTTAAATGCGGGCCCTGAAAGGCAATAGAAAATTAACAAAAAGGGAAATTTTTTGGTTTAAAAAAAAAAATAATGAAAATTCGAAAGAAAAAATTTTCGAAAATACAAATATTTACAATGTATGAAAAAAACGTTTTTTCTTTGGGTGAAGGGAAATTTATTGTATTTTGACGGGGGAAACAAAAAAAATACCCCAAAAGAAAGAATATTAAAATTTTGTAAAAAAAAATAATAAAAAACATTAGCCAAAAAAAAAAAGGGTTTAAAAAAAATTTTGGTTGAAAAAATTTATTAATATAATTACTTTAAAAAAAAAAAAATGCAATAAAATACAAAAAAAAAATATTCAATTTTCTGTAAACAAGGGGGCCGTAGTGGCTCAAAATCGCTCACCAGAAACAACTGTTTTAAGTGTTAGAAATAATTTTTCAAATAAACCTGCCGAGGGGCAAGTCCAGCTCAACTTCAACTTGCCCCTCTAATTATATTGGTACCCGAAACTGATTGTTTTATTGTTGTTGTTTTTTTTTTCTTTATAAAAAAGGAACCTTTCACAAATGACCCAAATTCCCTTTTTATTGTCCCTCTGGCAAAATTAAAAATGTCAAACTCATGCTTTCTTGGGTTTTTGTTTTTCATTTCTGGAGCTTTTTTAATTTTTTTTTTTTAAATATATTTTGTTTTTAATTTAATTTTTTAAACAGTTTGGCTTTAAATTTTTTTCCTTTAAAAAAAAATTTTAAATAGCTTGACGGGAAAAGTAAATATCGTGACTAACTTTGCCCAACCAATTTTTCAAAATTTTTACGGGCCCAAATGGGCATTTGTATGTTTAACCCGCTTTTTTAAAGGGATTTTTGTAAAAATTGGGAAATCATTTACATTTTTTACTTTAAAAGCTATTTTGCGCCCCCTCTGGGAAATTTCTTGGTGGAAAAAAATCCCTGAAAGGGAAAAAAATGGTTTTTAAACTGAAAAGTTTAATTTTCTTTTGCAATTTTACCAGGAATTTTTGATTGTTTTTGGTAAAAGAAAAAAGAGTTTGTTCTAAAAAAAAGTCATTTTAAACTATGAAGACTGTGTGCAAAGGAATCTTAAGTTATTTTGGCGTACAAGCTTTCTTCAGTCAAGGCCCTGTAACCTTGACCTTTGACCCAATGACCTAAAAATCAATATGGGTCATCTACTCATCGTGACTAACCTCGATGCTAAATATGAAGACTGTGGGTCAAAGGAATCTCAAGTTATTGGGCGGACAAGCTTTCTTCAGTTAAGGGTCCTGTGACCTTTGACCCAGTGACCTCAAAATCAAAATGGATCATCTACTCATCGTGAATAACCTCCATGCTGAATATGAAGACTGTGGGTCAAAGGAATCTTAAGTTATTGGGCGGACAAGTTTTTGAAAGTAAAGGCCCCTTTGACCTTTGACCTTATAATCGATAGGGATCATCTACTATTCGTGACTTATTTATAATATGAAGATTGTGGGTCAAATGAATCTTAAGTTATTGGGAGGACAAGTAAAAACCGACGGACGGCCGGACGAGGAGACGGCTGGACAAGCTGATTCCAGTATACACACCGTACAATCAAATGGGGACCAGCAGTTCAAACGTCGACAGCTGTAACTTCGTTGTGCGGGGTTATAACCATTCCCATTTTTTATTTTTTGCAAGATATCTCAAAAGATAATGACCATGGAATATTGCTATAGGATACCGAGGTCCATCACGTTCTTCGTGTACATTTTTTTCTATATGTATTATGGCCAAATATATTCTAATAAAAATGTTACGTCATGTAGACCTTTACTACTTTGAAAGTCCGCCATCTTGGAAGCGTGTACATAGTTTTCTAAGTCATCATCGTCATCCGTTTATTGTTGTAAATATCGTCATCATTATTTTTATTATAAGCATTACTCATCATCATCATCATCACGTGTATGTATATACTTAGTGTAAAGCCAAATAATAAACCAAAGAAAACCTTGGAATTTTCTTTATCTAGTACAAGCAAACCCGGGGTCTTTATTTAAAAACAGTATAATTAAACTGTCTGTGATATAAACCATAGTATATTAATTTGACAGGTATTGTTCATTAAATCCCATTAAACACATGTTCGCCTGCTATCATAGTCATAAACTATTATTTTTGATCTTATTTTGATCGTCTATTTAGTTATTTATCAAATACTTTTAACCTCAACAATAAGGCGTTTAAATAATTTTGAGATGGAAACAAAAAATTGGCGGGAAAGAAAAACGGACATAAATTTTGACAGGATAATTTGGCAAAACTACCGAGGTCATGTACGGTCATTTATTATTTTACAATTTGTTATCTTTACACGTGTGATTTTCATGCAGGCTATATGGCAGATAGGAATAAAGATAAAAAGAAATCTTGGCTTAAAATATAAATAATTTAAAATAAATTTTTCGAAAAAAAAAAATAATTTTTCAAAAACACAAATCATTACGACAATGTTTAGGTTTTATTATTTTTAGCTCTGTTCAATCCTAAAAGGGGCCAATTGAAATGATATAAGCAAATTAAAGTGTGACTATCACAAGGATGCTAAAGACTAAATTTGAAGTAAATTTCAGAAGAGATGAATGTTGACACATGACAACGGACGAGGCGCCCTTCTTTGATACTAATAGCTCACCCTGAACCTTCGGTTCTGGTGAGCTAAAAGTTATGACAGAACAGAACGAAATAGTTATCATGGCACAAACATGCTCATCGCCAATACGTTGTTTCAATTACAAAACCATTTTGCGTAGAAAAAAACCTTCGATTTTTACGGAAAAAAATATAAAATAGAACTTTAAATGGTACGAAAGGAAAAGTCAAATAAAATACATTAGGCTTTAAAAAAAGGACAAATTGTTGAACAAATATTTTGACACGGAAGAAAAATAACAAATACTGCATATTTTAAATGTTTTTAATCTATTTTACAGATCTATAAACATCGAGATTACTTTGACTTCTCTTTTACAAAACAAATAAAATAATTGGCTCATTTATCAATTTTTTAAAGGAATTATTATTTTTTAACATTTTTTATTTTATTTCAATAATTTGTAGGGTTTCATGATGCACTGACGTTGTTAAGATCACGTGGTGACTTTCCAGATGCATTGGCGGAGAAACCTCAAGTGCCATTTCATGCACAAGCGGGCACCTGACTAAAGCGTCCGACCTCTCGTAAGCAAGTAGGAAAGCTTTCTCGCATGAAAGAATTCAAACCCCTTGACGGGATGTGATCCCATAGCGGTTATGGACAAAAAGATTTGAAGTCAACGATCTTAACCAGTCGGTCAAAGAGACCAGCAATTTTGTTACAACTTACAAAAAAATATATTCCTTAAAAAATTACGTGACTTGTATCAAAAGTGCATATTAATTCACTAAATTGACAAATGGTTTCGAATCAGCAGTTTGTTATATATCAAGAAGTATTTTACATATAATAACCACAAATTACATGTATATGCATTAGATACAGTTTTTGCTTTAAATATCAAGCAATTTGCATATTCAATTATGTAATGTGCAAAAACTGCCCACATGTAAATTGCATAAATTACATGAGGCTTTAATATTACAAGTAATATGCAAAGAATAACCAACAATCTCAAATAATTATTATGAAACAAATAATTTGTTTACAATTACAAGAAATGTGACAAGTAATTTGCATATTATTACAAGTAATTTGCATATTATTACAAGTAATTTCCATATTATTACAAATAATTAGCATATAATTACAAGTAATAATTTATATCTCAACAAATTTATTTAAAAAAGCCAACTTTTTATTTAAACAACACAAAAATACGTGCTAAATGACACAATTTTAACAAAGAGCACAAAAAAAACAACAACAAAACAACAAAGTGACAATGTAAAAAAACTTATAAAACTTTTATCACGCGGTAGTAGATAAAAGAAAATGTGATAAAACGGTCGACACATCTCCAAGGATACGTTCTGGCACTTTTTCGTCCTTGGAGAATGATATATGAAATTGAAATATAAAAAATAACCTTTAATACTCCCTTTAAATGACTTATTGTTACTGTTAATAAGAAAAAAAATATAATCCTAAGATAATTAATCATTTGTTCGCCATTTCCTTTAGAGATATAACAGATATTTTTGAAAACATAAATAACATTTTGACCTGATTGGTTGTTTATATCTGTATAAGAAATAATGAAAATGTATCAACTGTCAGATCATAAATCAAGCGTTATTAAAGCCAAAACGCGCGTACATCGTTGAGGTCTGTTAGATTACAATATGTTACATAACCTCAACGTGACATCAACACCTGTCACATCCATCGGATGTTACACCTTAAGACTCGCCACCTGACCTATTTCAAGCCGACTGACCTATTTCAATTTGTGAACAGCAAAAAAAAGTGTAAAATTAACAAGAGGCCCAAGTTGGCCTGTATCGCCCACCAGTCATAAGCAGGAAAGAAGATAGAAAATTATGCATCCATAAAATGAGGAGACCATTTTGACCACAAAAGCGCGATCAAAAATAGTTTACAGATGTTTTCTAGGCAATGCTGAAAAAAAATATCGTAGCATTGGGCCTATTTAAGTCAGAGTTATATGATTGAAATATTAGATGAATTTATTCAACCAAAAATATAAAGCAGGACTACGTCATTTTTACCAAAGCAATATGAAGTTTGTAGAGATTCAGTATTCAATGCCGCGATGTACTTACAAAATATAATAGCACGCGCCATTTTAGTGTCAGGCGAAAGTTTACAACTTTACATAAACATCTTCTTTACTTTATTATAAAGCTTTAAATGAAATATTGATGGAATAAAATGCGTATTTTCTTTTTCTGTATTTTCACTGCAGTGAAACATATTTTCTGTATTTTCAGTCTACTTTTTTCTAAACAGTCAATACACAAAAAAATAAAAGGAAGGCTTTCAAATTGTGATGATAAATATAGATCCTCTATATGATAATCAGAAATTTCAAGATACAAGATTTATTTTCATCTTGTGGTAAGAAAATAATCATATTTGAATCCTGGCTACCGCCACTCATGAAATATTTAATGAAAATAAATCCCGTATTTAAAGAAAACCTTGTATTTAAAAAAAACCTTAAAAATATATAAATATTTATTTCATGTTTGATTAAACTAAACTTACACATGATTTGGTCAATGTTGTAAACGTTCGCCATGATTTACATCATAACAACTAATTTCTTATATCTGTTACTATTTTACCTTAGGCTCTAAACAATGTCAGAAACAATTTGATTAAAGTGTGTATTTATATCTAACAAACATCGTAAACAAAAAACAAACAAACAAACAATATGACGTCACATTCATGTGATGAAAAGACCCACCAAGACATATTCTTTTTCTTTTACGTCTATCAAAAAGTAATAGTATACTCCTTGTACTAAAAAGTTATCTCGCTATAAAAATGAAATCTGAAATTTTTTTTTCATAATTACGTCACAGTTTCAAAAATAGTTTTTTAGGTGGGTCTGTAAAGCTTTGAACATACTTGGCGAATAAAATGACTTTTTATTAATACTACATGTATATGGTTGTGGTTACAATGTTATATGACGCAGAAAAGTCTTTTGAATACATGATTAAAAACAGTATTAACCAAATTTTCAAACCCTCTTATATCTAGCACGCAGTATATAAACTCTCACTTTCATCAAATCCTTTTTGCACGAAAAATACTGACCGTCAGCGGCATGTTTCAGGTTTAAACGTTAAGCAAGTATCACAATTATCATGGTACTCTCGGTTGAATATCGTTCAGTATGAAAAGAGATTGTAAAATATCTATCCTAACTACTTTGAAATAGACTATACATTCATTGATAACGTCAGTCGTTGATTGACCGTGCTTTTCCAAAGTTCATTCCCTTTTGGCTGGCTCCCCCTGTGAAACCATACTGTAGCCCAATTACCGTTTGTCCTGAAAGAAAAAAATGTTGTTCGCTTTAAATAACCGAAAGATGTGAAGGGACTTTTTTTTAGAAAGAAGCATGGTGGAGTACTTAGCCGGATTGAAAAGTACCCACTTTCTAGCGAACTCGCGAGGGAGCGGTGACCGAGTGGTTAATGTGTCTGCATCTCAACCCAAGAATCATAGGTTCGAGCCATAATCGGATCACGACAATAATTCCTCATATGACACAAGTACTGGTTAGTTCTAGGAGGCGAATTAGACAGTGATCTATATTACTTGCAAGAACTTGTTTCGCAAATCGGGCTTAAATAAAAATGTTTGACTAAACGCAGTCGTGATTGGATTACTACGCACGTAATTCTAAGCAGACATAAAAGTAGTTCATCGCTGGAAACATCATAAATTAGGAACAGATAAAATTCTTAATTGTCAACATTTATCACATAATGTCACTATTTTAACAAAAAAGGGTACATTTAGATTTCTTAAATAAATATAGCCCTCATATATCAAATATTAGAAACAGAAACACAAAAAGTATCTCTTTTTTCAAAAAGCATCTTCCCTTAACAATCATTAGAGAAAAAAAAATCAAACATTATTTTCTAACAAAATTGTGCTTTTTGAGACCCAAATGAGATAATAAAAAAAGTGAAGTAAATATATATTGTTTCCAAACCTGTCAACAAGAAATGAAAGGAGAACGCTATCAAAATTAAAAATAGAAATCAGAATGTGAAAGGTCACTTAAAAATATCTACCAAGAGCAGATATCAACAGTAGCGTGTACAATGGTATGTATTTTAGCCAAAGTTGTGACAATAGGTTTCTTTTTCTTTCTTTCTTTTTTCCTATCGTAACATGCGATATGATTTAATCATGGTGCGGCTTATTAAGTTCAAGGGAGGTAACTGGAAATGAAAGTGGAAATGAAGTGAAAGAAATGCTTTACAAGGGAGAGCATCAGGTCCTGAAGGAGTCGGGAGATATTATTTGGAAACAAGTTTGTTTCAAAATTTGTTGCAGTGCGCGTTGACGGGAATTTTATCATCTAGCTGCCCTTGCGAGAAAGTTAAGCTACATAAAATACCAGTATTTAACTATGATTTGATTTCACATAGTCATAGTTAATATCTTATTTCACAGGAAACATTAAAACACAAAACACATACCATAAAATGAAATTTGATATTTAATATACATTGTATCTCGGCACAGTCAATTTAGACTTTTAAACTGTAATTTGTACATAAGTAAAGTTTTTTTTATCTACACCCATTTACAACAATAATGAGCAATTCCAAATAAAAAATAGGACTAAACCATTACACAAATCTGACATTGTCAAGGTTTAAAAGTATCATTAAAGAAATCCCTTACAACAAATTTGGATGAAAATGAAGTAAAAGTAAAGTTACCAGCGTGTAATGTTTGTTCATCAAAGTTTCTTGGATTATGTTGAGATTCGCGGGGTCCTAACGTTGGTCCAGTGTAACCATTCTTCTGTGCCTAAAATAAAAATGACGTTGTCATATACTTACAATATTTCAGTAATTTTATATATTTATATATTTTACACACAATAACTGTAAAACTGCGAGAGCAACAAAAACGGCGAAAGATCGTTTTTCTAGCCATTTTCTGACTTAATAACCGGATGCGGTAGTGAAAAAGAATCTTACATTAACTTTCATTCCATGTAGATTACATTAAAGTTCACGAAAGACAAACATTTTGCTATCAATTCTTAATCCATTATAACTATAACAATTTTAAAAGACAGTTAGTTACCATAATGCTGTGAATGCATGTGGGGGATATCTTGCTACATGTACCATTCCTTATCCCCCCAAAAGGTCTATATATACAGGGATGACTGTATTTTAGAAAACAATATCTTACCGCCCGTCCTACAGCATGTATACAATTTAATACATAAGTCATGCCATTGTTTCTGTCTGTGAGGTTTGGGGTACCGAATTTATCCGCTGTTGACACGCCGTAATTTGCTATGGCTTTTAAAAAGTTTTCTATGTTTTCCATATCTTTAAACTGCTTAAAACTTCCGGACTGAACTCGGTTTATTTTCTTTACAGAACCTGGTTTTAATTCGTTGATAAGCCTGAAAAACAACGACACAAAAACAGATTAAATAATAACTTATAGTACCAAACCATGTTGTTCATAGAATAACGCTATTGCTCTTTCTTGTGAACTGTATGGACACGTGGTTCGTCGAAGTCTTTGTATTAAAATGCTTAAGTACATGGAATATCTTGTTTGTTTGTGAAAATATATTTTACAGCTCATAACATTTACATATGGATAGGAAAGAAATTAGAAAGTTGTAAGCTTGCCATTTCTTTTGAGATTAAATGGCACCACCGACAACAATAGATAATAAATATGACACTTTTTACTAGATATCATACTGCATGTCTTTATTTTTATAACCTGCTGGAACCAGATATGATAAGCCTTTGCTATCATGAATCTTTGCTATCACGAACCTATGCTATCACGAACCTTTGCTATCAAGAATCTTGCTATCACGAACCTTTGTTATCAAGAACCTTTGCTATCACGAACCTCTGCTATCACGAAACTTAGCTATCACGAACATTTGCTATTACGAACCTTTGCTGTCAGTATAGTGCCAGGTTAGCCGCACGACTGTAGTAGGCTCTTAAAGGCACATTATGCCTCAGAATTTTTTGTAATTCTTTATAAATGTAAATAATAATAGTGTTTGAAAAATCGATAAAGGGCACATTAGATCCTTAACAACTGAAGCGCTGAACTGCAGCAATGTGTCACAAAGGTAGCAAAAAGTAAATAAAGTAGTTTATCACACACCCGTGCCGATTTTGCGACTCCGTAAATATGGTATTGAACGGCCGTGCATATATTTTTGACGTGACGTCATTAGCGTTAACAAACATAGTGTAAAGACGCGCTAAATGATAGCGTTATATTACTATGGGCGCGTCAATGAAAAATTGACTCTTATTTTACTTTAAACGGTCTTTTATTTTGGGGTATGTGATAAATAGAATATTAAATTTGTGTAAGTTCATATCTGAATTTATTGCACTCGTTGAAATAAAATAATATTATGCTCGCCAGAGGCTCGCATAATATAATTTTATTCAACTCGTGCAATAAATTCAGTATTGAACTTACACTCATTCAATATCCTCTATATGTTGTCTTTCATGCAAAATACTAGTTCACTACAATAATACAAATCACCAACAGAGCTTGAGTTGCAAAAAGATAGTCCATGTATAATTATGGTAAATGAGTATCACGTTGAAAACTGTAACAAGATACCTAAAAAGAAAAGTTTTTGAGAAATGAAATTGGTATCATTTCTGAGGCATAATGGGCCTTTAACTGGTGGTAGCTCGACTTTTGTATTTTGATTTAGGAATCCCTGATACTTTAAATAGACTGTTCAGATCAGGACAAATAGAACAGTCCCATTTTCATATTGTTCCAATAGGATGTGAAGTTCTTACATCACCTGTACTAATTTAGATACAAATTACTAATTATGCAATAAAATTGTGGTATACTGAGCCATTTTTAAATAATTTGGCGGCCTTTTAGGTGGCCATCTTGGGATTCTCAAAATATGTACCATGATTACACATTACCCAAATTTTTATACTTCACAAATATTTATGCTTACAGTGGTATAACATTATCCATGACCTTTTTATGCATGCACCCAAATGGTCAGCCCAGGACTGTCCTAAAATCCTTCTCACAAATTCAGCAGGATAGTTATACTTACTCGCATAATAATACGCCATCTTTCAATGCTAATTGAAACTGCTCTTCACCTAATGGCATATTTTGATCAGCTCCCTGCAATATTGAACACAAATTTAGGGGGTTTTAATAAACGATTTAATCTTATGTTGGATTAAATTCAATTTCTTTGGCTCATCGTTTAACTGCTTTTATTTCAGTTCTTTGTGTGTGTGTTTTTTTAAACTTGATGTTTTTTTCTATTTTAATTGTAAATGTTTAGATAATTAGATAAGTATAAAAATATATATATGCTGTCTGTCAAAAATATTGACAATATTTAAGGTAGAACAAAAGGTCGAACACAAATAGTCAACAAACTACAAATCTGAACCAAAGGATATTTTAATAGAATATCCATTATTTCATATTTCTTTTTTCAATTAATACATATACATGCCTACATGAGAAAAGTAAATAAGTAAATTCATCAAAGAAATTCTAGAGCTTGCTTTTTTATCAGTGTGCATCGTGGAATAGATTCGGAAAGATAGTTCAATCTAAAACCTGCCGGCGGTAACTGATGCTACCCATGTGTCAAGTGCAAACTATGACCAGCCAGCACATCCGCACCCTCTGTTCAACACATGGTCTGCACTGCTAGCTATTCAGTCTGGTAAGGTTCAAACAATTTAAAATCACTCAAATGCCAATAAACTTTAAAACAAAAAGGTGGTCAATAAGGTAGCATAGATTATGCCCAATCGCGGATACTTGCAATACAAAGCTGACAATATGTTACTAGAGTCTATCACAGAGCATATAAGTTCTAAATGTAAGCTATTTTATAACTGTACGTAATGAAACAATTATGGTGCAAAATTTTTCAATGAAAATCTCCTCTCAACAATCTTGGTGTAGGATGACGGGAGCTAATGGCGTGTCCAACATAAATGGAACGGCCTCAAACATTTCACCTAGATTAATTAGTAATATGAGCATTGTAGTTTGAATTACCTCCACTAATTCTCTCTGTAACACTGCTTCCATCCACTGTCTTGCCTGCTGTTCAAGTTCAAGGCTATATTTCTGGTTAATCTATAAAATAAGAGAACATCGTGCAAATTTTTCCATCAAACCGTAATTCACCGGAATCACTGTATTATTTACTTGCAAGCCTATATAACTCATTATGTGAACGTGTTATTGTGATTAATTACAAGCACTTTTTAACTTCGGTCACTGTATTATTTATTGCAAGCTTAATCAATTCAACTTGTATCATTTATTGGATCAAAGGAAGTAGATGTGTTCATACACATTGATTCTGTACACACACGATACACGTAAATCTCATGCATAACAAACATCTCAAACATCTAAACTTCGTGTAAGACATGTCGCAAACCTTGCCTCTAGAACGAAAACCTCGTGCACAAATTATCTAAAATTTTCTCTGATAGAAAAAAACACGTGCATTTGATTCTCAAATCAAACATGACATTGAGCAGGAAAAAGCGCGACCAGACAAATTTTACCTACGATATGTTACGGGATCTTTGGCCTTTACATTTTCAAAATCATGGTAAACATTTAATTCTTTCAACTTAAAGATTTGATAACTTCTGAGTCGCCCATCTGTACCAACCAGTACTGGTGTCCCATGTCAAAATACGGTACATTGAATAGAAAAATGAAAGGCTCGAACCAAAAACAAAACGATATTTTCCCCTATATAAGTATCAATATACATGTATATTTCTTTGCATAAAGTTTTACTCGACATTACTCGACAATACACACTTACGCTTTATTCGACATTGCACACTTACGCTTTACCTGACATTGCACACTTACGCTTTACTCGACATTACAGACTTGCGCTTTACTTGACATTGCACACTTACGCTTTACTCAATATTGCACATTTACTCTTCACTCGACATTTCACACTTAAGCTTTAATCGACATTACACACTAACGCTTTACTCGACATTACACACTTACGCTTTATTTGACATTGCACACTACCGCTTTGGTACCGACATTTGCATCACATAGGCCTTACTCGATCAGTTTACAAACACTTAACCTTTAAGACACAATTACAAACTTACGCTTTTACTGCGACATTTACAGTAACACTTAAACTGCTTAACTAAATCGCACCATTACAAGCACTTACGCTTTACTTGAAATTTACAACACTTAGGCTTTACATTACCACTTTTCGTATTTTGTTGAAAAAAAGAATGTTATAAAACTGATAAAGTGTAATAAGAGATATCAAATCCACCTTATCTAATTTGACCTTTGCCAGTAAGAACCTATCCGTGCGGTCCGAGTAGCTCACTCGTTTTGTGTACAGATAGATAGTTTCCAAAATCCTAATATGAACAAGTAAATACATGGTGACTTACGAAGCATCGTTTCTTTGAAGTGTAAAAAGCTAGATCTATATATACCTGGTGCAAAAACTATTTTTAGAGTTGTGGTAAAGAATACTTCAAAAATGTCTGTATGCAAGAAATATGTTATTACTAGTATAATGCCGATATACAATCAGTTCAATGAAAGCAAACGTTATTACGTTTGGTTTTCTTCTGAAAAAAACTAACGTTTACACGACCCACATTTTTCACTATTGAATAAAGCAGAACCGAAAGTGTGTGTTATTTAAGAAATAATATATCCCAAGCTCAATAACATCACTGCTTGGAGAATTCGAGTGATAAAGTGATGCGCATCCGAACGACAAACATTGATGTTATCAAGCAATAAAATAACCTATTTGGATATATTATTTCTAATCTTACACGACATCAAAAAATAAATGCTGCGAGTTCATGATACCGGTAATTAGCTAAATTGCGCCTGTTGATGTCGTGTTAGAATCGAAATAATATATCCAAATCGGTTATTTTAAGATAACAACAAGGACAACAACAAAGACTGCATATATTCATATAGCAGATAATAAAATGTTCTAGAACAAAAACTTATTATTCATCACATAAATGGCCATAATAAATAACTTACACCGTTAGGAAATATTTTACAAGAATACCCAAATGGTTCATTTCCATTATTTTTTTTTTATATTTATCAATATTCAATAAAAAAAAACTTTTGGAAAAAAGTGCACAAAGTAGACCAATCCATGTTAAAAAAGGCACATAATATCTTTTTAATTTTATGTATTTCATTAATTTTATGTATTTCAGAACATTTTATTCTTTGTGAGTTTAATATTCATGTGTGTTAAACATCGTCAACCGACCGATTACAGGTGCATGCACACTGAAAATGACCAATTGTGTCAAGCTTCCACAGATTTATATTACACGTTTTTCTTTAAAACGTCAATGCTACGCCTGGGTGGCGTACCCACGTACCTATTTAACAGGGTCCACGGTATGTAACGTTTACCTCAAAGACAAATCACAATATTTTCTTTAAAAAAAATGTTGAAGTACGGGGTTTTGCGTTTAATTCGAAGACAAACTAAATATAGTTCTCAAAAAGAGAAAAAATATCTGCAAAATCACTAAAATAGTTTTCAAAAAGAAAAAAAAATCTACAAAATCGGTGCAATTTTCCGCCGTGCATTTTATTCGAAAAGTCACATAAGTTCGCTTCATTTATTCTAGTATGCTGTCACGCCTTGTTTTAAGCAAGAAAATTAAACTATAACAGACTGTATTTATCTGAACATTTCTAATGCTATGTTCTCACCGCCGATCAGATCAACTCGATCGTCCCGATCACATTAATTCCCCGCTGAAGCCCGACCAAGCTGGATTGAAGCTGGATTAAATGCACACACGACATCAAGTAGACCCAATACGATGTTTTACGACTTCTTCTCGAAGACAACCCTACCAACATCCAGAATTTTTCTCGATCACCCAGACCTATAAAGCGAGTCATACACGATCTCAACTAGACTAACTCGACCTCTGCTCGACGTTGCAAGATTTCCGGAGTAGAAGTCGAGACGATCGTGTACAGATCGTGTAAAAGATGTATACCCGACCAAACTAGATTGTGACATGATTTATTCTCGATCAACTAGATCTTCTACTCGATCACTATACGATCGCTTTTCGACCGCTTATCTACTCGATCGCTACTCGGAAGCCCGAGTCATGCCGACTAAGGTAGACTGCTCCGACCAACCCGATCACGCACGCAGACCGAACTAGAACTAGACCGGTACCCGATCGCTTGATCGTGCTTGATCGAGTTGATCTGATCGGCCGTGAGAACACAGCATAAATAACTAGAGCTATCATTAAATGTGATTAATACCCCCAGTAAACTGATTCAGAAATGAGGATGTTACTAGTAACAGAATACCTTGTAAAATAATTGACATATAGAGTTATGGTTGTGGGCAATTAAAGATACTTGTGGTTCTTGTATGTTGCATTTCCTTTCAATGTGGCTGGCCATTGATGAAGTTTTATTGAATATCTCTGTAATAAGGGCAATAACTCTATAGATACTGAAGACAGAGTTATAGTTCTTGTGCACTGCACTTCCTCCTATTGTGCTTGACCATTGTATGAAGTTGTTTTGAGTTTTAAGTTATGCTCCTGACAAGAAAGTATCAAAGGGCAGTTATTGTGTATTTTTTCTCAAAATGGAGTTATGGCTCTTGTGCACTGCACCTCCTTTCATGAAGTTGTATTGAATTCCAAACAGGAGTTTTCAAGTTATGCTCTGAACAAGGAAAAGTAACAGAGGACAATAACTCTGTAATTAGTCCAGATGGAGTTATGGTTCTTGTGCACTGCACTTCCTCTCAATGTGCTTGACCATTGTATGTATTTATATTGAATTCCAGCCATTAGCCTTCAAGTTATGCTCCGGACAAGGAAAATTCGTTTTTGGGGGTATAAAAACAATGAATTAAATTTCCGGGCACTAATCAACTTTTTGAAGTAAATAAGTATAACAGATGATGTTGAATTTGATGGATTTTTTATATCTATAATATAAATTTTTAGCCTAAGCCTAATATTAAAACAATTGCATTGCACATTGACTATTTGCGCTATCTTTTGCATCTTTCACGTTCTGGCAATAAGAATTGTTATTATGTTTAAATATTTTGTATGGAAGTCAAAAGACTATTTTGTTTCAATTTTGCTATATTTATCATAAATTATACTTCATATGCAGCACTCTTTTCATTCATGTGATAAACATCTCTCATGTTCTAAATAGCTTTTTGAGGAAGGAAAAAATTGAGCGTTCCTGCACGAAGTTTAATGTGCAAGCGTACATGTATAACGTAAGCATTTGAAGTATAAAACACGCTGTAGTACAAATAAATTATTTAATTTTAGCTTTTGGCTAGCGACATTACCATGAATTTAACGTTCCATATAAAACACGTGTAATCAGATTTCATTTTACACCTTTCATTTCGTTTCACATCTTTTATTTCGTTTTAAATAGAGATGAAAAAATTTTGAATCCATAAAGAATTTAAAAAAAAAAAAAAAAAAAAAAACATAAAACAAAAAAAAAACATCTTCAAAAAAAAGGAAGTTTTAAAATGTTATTTGTATACCGCGATGAACTGACATGTAAGAAATACACGCCATCTAACACTGAAGCATTATTGTGCACTACTTTACAACACCCCTTCGAGTGCCTCTTCTTAAAAATTCACAACTGTCATTCATAAAAGAAGCGAACGGACGCTTTAAAGCGGATCGGGTGGTAAAAATTACCAAGCGTAGCAGGTAGTGTCACATTACGATTGTGTAAAAAGCATTATTTATTCATACATATTAATAGAGTAAAAGCAAAGCAAGACATAATATATTGATCATAGTTTAATTTGCATTTTTCATTTGTGTGAGGTATTAAAAAACATGCCGATCCTACTTAACACATTAAAACGGATTTCGCTGTTTCGCATTTTATCAAGATAACGTAATCGGAACGAGTGGAATTTTTAAAATGTTACAAACAAGGAAATATTCTTCATGATAACAGATGTAAACTGTATTTTATACAATCTACTTGACACAAGTATTCAACAACGCTAAACAAGGCAAATGTAGCCGTTTTTCCCGTCTATTAAATTATTTAATACAAAAATACTGCATTTTAGTTATTGCCCCAAATGAACTATGCATTATTCATCTTGAAAGAATTAGGAATCAGTTTCACTTTTGAGGGTGTCTCCTAAAATATATAAAACAGAGAATGACATATCTGAGAATTTTCACCAAATAAAATTGGTTATTATAAAACGTTAAAGGCACATTAAGCCTCAATAACCTTTTTTGTTGCTTCTTAAGAAAGGGCATCTATGAGTGATGTAACATGTAAATCGCCTGAAGAATATATCGATGAATGCAATATTCTTTGTCATTAAAGTAGCAAAAGGTAAACACAGTAGTTGTCTGACTACCATTCAAATAATCATTTAATCACTTTAACCATTCAAATTGCCAAAAAGATACTAGTGCAAAAGATGGTTTAGGTAACTGGCCATAAAGTAACTTTTTGGAAACTATAACAGGCAACAACAACAACAACGACGACGACGACTTTTAAGAAATAAAAGTAAAAGTATTTCTGGGGCATAATGGGCCTTTAAAAAATAATTTGTAAGCTAGCTTAAACATTGCACTAACGACAACTCTAATTAAATTACGTTTACCTAAAATAAAACGCGGACATGAATCTACACATATGATGTGACTGATGGCGGGGAACACATGCAGAAACAAGAGGGCCATGATGGCCCTGAGGTCGCTCACCTGTATATAGGCCCCCGGAGCGAGGCCAGTTTAAACCCAAGGGCTTTTATTTGAACAAACTTGGAAGACACCCATTAGAAGATGTTTCATGATGTTAAGTTTTTACTATACATACGTAATGAAAAACAATGACCCCCCCCCCCCCCCTGGCAGGGCTAATTTTAACCCAAGGGCTTTTATTTGAACAAACTTGGTAGACACCTATAAGAAGATGTTTCATGCTTAACATCTAAGCTCTAGCTCATTGGGTTTTTTAAAAGAAGATTTTTTAATTTTTTACTATACACATATAGTTAAAAACAATGACACCCCTGGGGCGGGGCCAATTTTGACCCCAGGGCTTTTATTTGAACAAACTTTGTAGACACTCACTAGAAGATGTTTCATGCTTAATATCTAAACTCTAGCTATATGGGTTTTTCAAAGAAGATTTTTTAAGTTTTTGCTATACACATATAAGGAAAATCAATGACCCCCGGGGCGGGGCCAATATTGACCCCAGGGCTTTTATTTGAACAAACTTGGTAGACACCCAGTAGAACATGTTTCATGCTAAATATATTAGCTCTAGCTCTAGCTCTTTGAGTTCTTTAAAAGAAGATTTTTTTAAAGTTTTTACTATATGCATATAGGGAAAATCAATGACACCCTGGGGCGGGGCCAATTTTGACCCCAGGGCTTTTATTTGAACAACCTTGGTAGACACTCATGAGAAGATGTTTCATGCTAAATATCTTAGCTCTAGCTCTTTGGGTTCTTTAAAAGAAGATTTTTTAAGTTTTTACTATATGCATATAGGGAAAATCAATGACCCCCTGGGGCGGGGCCAATTTTGACCCTAGGGCATTTATTTGAACAAACTTGGTAGACACTCACTAGAAGATGTAATATGCCAAATATCTAAGCTCTAGCTCTTTGGGTTTTTTAAAAGAAGATATTTAAAGTTTTTTTCTTTCGGTTGCCATGGCAACCAGAGTTCTGCATGGAATTAAATTATTTGAACAATTTTGAAAGGTGACCACCAAAGGAACATTCCTGTGAAGTTTGGATGAAATTGGCTTGGTGGTTTTTGAGGAGATGTCATTTAAAGTAAAAGTCTACGGACGGACGCCGGACGAAAAGCGATCACAAAAGCTCACCCTGTCACTTTGTGACAGGTGAGCTAAAAATAGTAAGCAACGGGTATTATCAACTAAGTGACCACCACGGCTAGTCATTTTTGAACTCAGGAACATGATTTATATAACTTTTGTATTGGACAACATGTTGATACTCTATGCCAAGTATCAAAATTGTGCCAGGGTAGTTTTATTATACTTTCGGAGATGCAGATTTTTAAGACAATTTTTCTAAATAAGTCTAAGTAAAGTAGAACTGGGCTAAATTTGACCTACGGACATAATTTGTCACATAAGGAGCCTTCTTGTGATGTTTGTTCAAATTCCATAATGTGGTTCATAAAGAGATAGCGGTGAAGAAAGGGAGACGGACAATTTGTGCTCAAGTGAGCTTAGAAGTGGAATATTAGTGCGCGAGTTCTTAGTTTGTTATGAACATAAGAAAACTATAAGACAAACAATTCAGCATTAGTCGAGAATGGGAAGGACAGTTATTATAAAAATATAATTGAAGTACAGGTGCAAAAGTGAATGCACGTTAACATTAAACAGTTTCTAAATATGGTGAACAACACTTGTGCCTGATAACAAATAATCAGATCAAGGCTGATTAAAAATATGCTTATAGTAAAAGGATACTTTCCTGCTTAGAACAGATGCACTGTTCTATAATTGCAAAATAATTTCGCAACATTGCAAAACTCCAAGGACAAATCAGTTAATTACATTGCTTCCTAGAAACGCTGTCACAATAACCAGACATAATATGAGAAACCCGGTCAGTAAACAAGAGCTGTCGGTAGGACAGCACGCTCGACTATTCTAAGTGCTTGATAGTAAAAGAGCCTTGATAATGTTAAATTTTCTAAGTTCACAAAAGGGCTATTTTTTTTTATAAATTCATGTTATAGGCCTTAGAGAGAGTCTAATTATACAGTATTGGCTTGACTATTCGTAAGGTAATGTCACAAGGGTGTTATATTAAGTATAATAATACTAATTACCTATGAATACATAAAATTGACAGAAAAGGTACAAAGGCTTGTTATTAAGATGTTTTATCAAGTAAATCACTGCGTTATTATTATGAATGCATAAAATTGTCCCAAAAAAGGCACAAACCCTTCAGTAGTTATGGAGATAACAGCTTA